CAAGCCGTTTGACAGCTGATGCTTGCTGTCAGAACGGCTTTTACACGAAAACAGGCGGGAGGCAGCTGTCGGCTGCGTCCAACGAGGTTGCCTGCACACCGGAAGTCCGTCGGGTGGATGCTTGCGTCGTGAGCCGCCCTGAAAAGGGGAAAGTGTGTGGTGGAAGCCTCCTCCAGAGACCACACCCCCTGGGCAGAGGTCGAAGGTCCCAGAGGAATGTCAAAGTCTGGGGCCACTGCCTGGTCCGCCTCTGCGCTCTGGAGAACTACTTCTCCAGAGCCTGGTGCCTTCTGCTGGCCTGCTTCTCCGCCAATTTGGAAGGCTTTTTGAGGATGGCCTTCGCCTTATCCTTGATCCTAGCTGCCACCTCCAGTTTGGAGGATTTGTGCCTTTCCTGGCTTGTGGATGGGGAGGCAGTGGCTGTAGGTTGAGACACCGTGGAGTCCTCTGCGAGCTATCTCAGGAGTACTGAGAGGGAAATCTGGCAGGCGATCAATTGGCGGGCAGAGTAGTTGGAGCAGGGAACTGTGGGCTGCTCCCCTGGTCACTGACTGGAAATTCAGTGCCTTCTCGGAGTCCGGTCACGGTTTCTTTTTTGTGGCAGAGGCCGAAGCACAGTGAGGCGCCAAGTATCTGGCACCGCCCGGTGGGCCTTAGGTGGTCAGGCCAATACTGCACCAGAGTGCCCAAGGTTGGGCGCAGAGGGGCCTAGAATCAGGGCATGGTTTTTGATGAATGCTGCTCTGGGAACCTTCACGTGGTCAAAATGGCGGCTGCCATGTTAAGGCAAGGTACAGGTCGGGCCTGGTAGCAAGTAATTAAGATGGCGGCTGTGCAAGGCTAATGAGATCTGAGCGGCGCCCCCAACGCGTATCGATAAAGAACCCCCTGGTTCAGGCTAGTAGCCCCAATAAGGCGATAGCGCTGCAGAAGTGACAGTGATGGTAAGAGAAGGCCGAAAGGCCTAACAATCCCCTCAGACAAGGACAGCGAGGCGCAGCCAAGATGGCGGCCATCCCGAACGTAGCGACTGGAAAGGGATCCAATGGCTCCGCGGTGGGCGCGGGAGCCTTTCCCCCTGCTCGGAATGATCTAAAGGCAGCATTTGGGGGCAGCAGCTCTTAAGAGGAACCCCACTTCCCCCTCAGAGCTTCAGTTTTCGGCCGCGGCTTTTTCGGCTGCAACCAAAATGGTGGCCGCAACTGTCCGACGGTTGGAAAAAGTGTCAGAGGCCAAGAAGCCTCGTGGAGCTTCCCTGGGCAGCCGAGAGATATTGGAGCTGCAGCGCTGAGCGCAGCGCTAATGGCAGCTAAAAGCGAGGGGTGAGGCAAAGGAACAAGAAAATTCCCCAGAGCCCTGGGGAAAGGGAAGAAGTTACACCCCCTCAGCCTTTAATTAGCCGATCTGAAGCAGCGCTGAGCCCAGCGCTGCTGAGAAGGCTGTGGAGGTGAGAGAAGATAAATTCCACCCAAGTTTGGCTGACTTGGTCTCAAGGGCAGGAAGACAGAGCAAACCCATTGGTGGATTCTCCATCTCCTGTGCTGGAGAACTGCAGATGTTCACTAACTCAAATGTTAGGTAACTTTTTTGAATAACAGATGAAATGAATATATAAGCAGACAGGTATAAAAGGACAGACTACATTTAAAAATAAAAGACATAAGACATTAATGCAATTGACATTACTGACAATTGCATAAAAATTAAATGCACTGCACGTTCATATTAATATCAATAGTAAATAACTTATCAGTTCTGATGTTTAAAAAACCCTTTATAAAATATACCCCCATAGACAATTAAAAATCTCAACTCAAGAATTGATGCTTCACATAAAACAGTACCTCTAAATGCCTGTTCTTCTTTGCAATCTCTCCTGGGGTCTGTCCATCTTTTGTCTGTATTGATTTATCAGCTCCAAGTTCAAGCAGCTTGAATACTACTTTTTTATGACCCTGGCATGCTGCCCATGTTAATGCCTGTAATGATTTATTAGCAGTTGTGATGGTATTTATTTTACAATAATAAAAAGAAAAACCGTCAGAATATAAATTACTTCTGAATGATCCCACTATATATAACACATGAATAGTTTGTCTTCACATCCCAATTCAGCATCATGTCTTGCCAAAGTTTAAAACAAAAATTTGAAATAGGAACAACAGAGAAGAAAGGAAATATGAGAAGAAACTGAGGTTAAAGATAACTGTGGTTTGAGCTGAGATGCAATATGGGAGCACATAAATTAAATTGTGCAAAACATTGTGCACCAGTTGCACCTATTCCTAAATCATGAGGTTCTGCTCAGTTATTCACACCTACTCATCTCCTGAATGGACTACTGTAACAAGCTTTATGTGGGGTTGCCCTTGAAGAGTATGTGGAAGCTTTAGCTGGTATAAAATGCAACAGTACGGGCAGTTATGTGTGACCCTGGAAAAACATATATTGCACCTCTTCTCCTTGAGCTGCATTGGTTATCAGTTTGTTTCCAGGTCCTATTCAAGTTGCTATTTTGACCTACATGGCAAAAATCTGAATTATCTGAAGGATTGCCTCTTCTCGATTACATCAACCCATCTCATCAGGTCCAGCAAAAGAGGCATGCCTTTTCTACCATAGCGCCCACACTTTGGAATATAGATCTGAGGCAAGATTAACCCCAAACCTTACAGCCTCCCCAAAGCCCTCAAAACATAAGTTTTCCATTAGGCCTGGTAAATACTCTGGCAACAGGGAGCCTATGCAGAGGCTACATTACAAATAATAATTTGGTTTTAATCCTCTCACAATTTTGGTTTTAATAATTGTTTTAATAGGTTTTTATAACTGTTGGTTATACACCTCCCAGAATCACCTTGGGTAACATATGCAGCAATATGTTACAATAGTCTACTTTGTTGAAATATTTGAAGTTTCATAAAGGAAAGGAAATAATCTAGTTAGGATTATACAAAAAGCTCACAGTGTAACCGCCTTTATCTTGAGCATTTACTTGTGATCCATGAACAACAAGGAGAGCAACAACTTGAGAATGGCCTTCCCGGGCTGCATACATTAATGGAGTCATTTTCTTCCTACAGAAGAATTCATAATATCTGTTAAAGAAGAATAGCTAAATTCAAAGCATATTTTAATTTGTTATTAAATAAAAACAGCATTGTCAACCAAATATTTACGCATCACATGTTCTGTAAGAAATATCAGGCCAGAAATTGTTAAGTTCAGTGGAATGAATTCTAGGTTCCTTGCTTAACCAACTGATACAACTAATTGCTGATGCAAATGTTATCATGATCATGCTCCATCAAGCATAGAAAAGGACATAAAAATGAGATGACTCAAAAAGAAAAAATATTGCATCATTTTGCTAAAATGTTCTTTACAACTGACTGAATCCAGTTCTTGTCAGCATAATACAAAAAAAGACATTAAGACTCTAGAAAGAGTGCAAAGGGGAGCAAGAGAGATGATTAGGGGACTTGAGGGTAAATGGTATGAAGAACAGTTGCAGGAACTAGGTTCGTCTTATCTAGTGGTGACATGATAGCAGTGTTACAATATTTGAGGGACTATGACAGAGCAAACTGAGAGGACAGATGGACAATTATCAAGGAAATGAGAGATAATTAAGGAATAATTTCCTGACAGTGAGAATAATTAATCAGTGGAACTGCTTGACCTCAGAAGTTGTGGGTATTCCATCACTGGAGGTTTTTAACAAGAAATTGGACAATTGATTGTCTAATAAGCATGAGTCACCTGCTTGAGCAGGCAGTTGGACTAGAAGACCTCCAAGGTCCCTTCCAATTCTGTTATTCTGAATGTTACAGATGTAAGAATATCATAGTTATAATGCACATTATTTAGAGGAATTACTTTAGAATTTTAAAATAATATTGTTAATCACATGTAAAACCACTAGAGGGATGTCTAAACACACACAATCTCCCCGAAGTGACCTTCTTTTCATCCCATTATTTCAATGATATAATTGTTATGGTTTTTTTGTTAGAGAATATATAAACATCTAAAAAAAACTTGTTATAGATAGAAGAAAAGAAAGGAGTCAAGAATAAACTTTGTAAAGTAGAATTCTAACATAGATTAGTAATTAAAAAGTGTTGTTATAAACAGTTCAGAAAGGCTACTTTTTCTACCTGCACTGTCAGCTAAACAGGTATGTGTGAATGAAATAAAGCTGGGAGGAACGGCTTGTTCATAAATTATCTAGAATCATAAATATAGAAATGGCCAAATTACTCTGGATAATAAAGCCAAGTGGGCTGTAAAGACTTCCTAAATAGTTCGCCAAAGTGAACTGGCAAGAAAACAGCAAATGAATTAAAAATTCTGAGAGTACAAATTGTAACATTCAAATTATATCAATAGGATTTAAACAGATAGTAACTAAAGGATTTTTAGGCTGAGGTGAATACATGAAAATATCAATTTAGCTCTGGAAGTTAGTAAAATCCAGAAAAATATACACACTAGAAAATGACAAACGAGCAGTAAAAATAACGAAAGGGTAAGGGCATCTTTTGTCAAGGAAACAATAGAACTTTTAGACATGATCAGGAAGAGATGTAAATGAGATTTAAAAAGTAAGTCTTGATGTGGAGAAAATTGAAACATTTTTTCTCTACCTCTTTTATATAATACCAGAATGAACTTATTGACCAAATTGTAATGAGCCAATGAAATTGATGGCAGTAGTTTCTGCATTAACAGAAGTAGTGGATGGGCATGATTTTATGATTTAAGCAAATACTTTGCATGAGAAAAGTACTGGAAACTGAGTGCAGACAAATCTTTAAACTATTCCTGCTTAATTTAGAGGAAACATCTTTTGTACCCTAATCTAAAGAACCCAGCAATCAAAAGTACATACAATAATAATAAATAGACCACCTGACTTTTAAATGTTGTTTATGTGTAAGTATATTTCATAAAGTAACAGTTTATGGAAATCACAGTCACAGGTATGGATGGACATGAGCTTGATAGTTAAATTAGGCATTCAATTCTCTGTAAATCTTAATATATAATAGAATAATAAAATAGAATGTTAGAATCTATGCTCACTGGGTACTAATAACTGAGAAGGGGAAACTGTCAGAAGAGAGCTATATCGTGATTCCTCCTGGTTTATGGTATTCCCAAAAGTATATGACTAGCAACTATAAAAATATGGACCTTTGGTCTTACATTTCCGAACTTCTAGTCTCTTAGTAAGCATTTTAAATTTACTGCAATATACTAGAATGTCAATTGCTAACAATAAAATGAAAATAAACAATGAACAATGGGAATGGTTACGCAGAAGAATGATTCACTGTCGCAACAATGGGATGTAATACCATTTTAGTCAAGGCTGACAAAACATCTTCATATGCTGTTGTGATAAGATAGCTTGCAGACTGGAGTATAAAGAGAATCTAGAAGTTGATTTAGATGAGCTATGTAACAAAAAACAATTTACCCGATGGTAGAGGTTTTAAATATTAATAAAACTATTGAATGACTGAAAACAAATATTCCTTGAATTCACCAAACAAACAACAACTTCAACAAAGATTTATAATAAAATTATTCAAGTTGTGAAATAAAAACATGTGGGGGTCTGCAATAATATTCTATAGAAAAAAAATAAAATACATAACAACTAAATATTTTAGTAATCGACAAGACTATAATTTTCATTTGTCAGAATTGGGATTGTTCTGATGACAATTTTGAACTCTGGTAGCAATTCAATACAAAAGTTTAGTTATCAGGTACAGAAAAAAATTGTATACATATTAAAATTTGCAAATACCCAGGAAAACAATTCATATATATCAGAAGATAAATCACCTTTTCAACAAATATATTCTATTGCACCTTATAAGGACCCAACCTATGAAAATGTACAAAGTTAAGTCCCACTGATTTTATTGAAGCATATCTGTTCTATGCAAGCTGTGAATCTTCTGAGTGAAATGCCAACTTACACATACTCTGCATTCAATTTGTTCGTGTAACGCTGCTAGAGGTGGTATCTTCCTGCATCCCATTCAGTACAGAAGTTGGAAACCCATGAAAATATAGGCACCAATAGCAAAATATTCTTTTATAAATGGCCACCAACTGGTTATCTCATAAGCAAGCATAAGTTGTCCAGAGTCATTTGGTTTAGTTGGGCGTCTGTAGAAATTGAATGACTGTGTCAGGGCCCACTTCAAAACCTCATCCTAAGAAAGCAGAACTCACGGAAGCGGTTTCTTCCAAAAAGAACTTTTATTAGGAGAAGCTGATAGCAGGCATAATAAACAGGATCTGAGGGTTTCCCGCTCAGATCAATAGGTTAAAAGTGTTCCAAGCAAACCCCACCCCAAAGTTCATCCGGTCAGTTCACATGGGCCAATCCCCAGGTGTTAAGTCCGTTGTGGGAAAGAGCAGATAACGCCAGGCTGTCTCAGGGTTGCAGCAATGTTTTGTTGGCTCTTTACACCAGTTGCCGGAGGCGCATTCCTTTCTTCTCCCCCCTCTTTCTAGCTGACATCAAGGGGAAAGATAGTTCACAGAGGAAGTATGCCCAAACAGCAAAGTGTTACAATGTAGTGATAGAAGGAAACAGAGCAATAACCCGCAGTGCTTTTTCCCCCTCCCCTCCAGGAGCATGGCAGAACCCAGAAGTATATAGAGAGAGTAGAGTTTGAGTTAAAGATAGAAAAGAGCGCCCTTAGAATATGGGTTCTGACAGACTGACTGACACAATAGGATACCCTTATGGACTGAATTATCAGTCTCTCCAGATAATTTTTTTTTAACGTCAACCTTATAAGATTAAAATATCAAAAGCAAAGGAGTATCTTTGGCCCAAGATTTATAAATGTGAATTTATGAATTTTCAGTTCATGAAAATTGAAGAAACTACTGTTTCAAATCCTATCTTCTTATGAACAAAATTATTTGATTCTTCAATTCAGACCAAATAATCTGCAAATGTCTATTTAGAAGTAAAAGTATTGCATTACCAATAATCTTCTAATGAAATGTATAAATCTATACATTTCACATGCATGTGAATTTAATTTCCGCAAAGACCAAAGAACTCTTCTCCTTCCAATTTTTGAGTTTTGAACATTTTCTAACAAAAGGCCCCATTATTTTTCTAAATCAGTGAATACTAATCCATTGCCTAGATTTCAGAATAACAGCAGCAATATAAAAAATGGTTTAAAATAGCTATTTAACTGTAACCAAAATATAGAGCTTTACTGAACATCAACTATTTATCTCTGTGCCTTATCTCCCTTTTAGCATCTACAAATATGTATTTCATCTCCAGTTGAAATGCGGATACAAAAAATACATTGTAGAGAACAGACAGATGATGTTGAAATTGTATTTTTTACAAAAAAACTAAAAATCTAAAATGTGGTTTTCTGGATCTTATGTTGCTACGAGTTTCATATTCTAAATTCTTTTTTTGCCTTGTACATATTGTATAGTGAGTCTTATGATGGCAAAGATAATACTGGGAATATTTCAAGGTATTAAAATGTTTTCAATATAATGTAATGCTATGGTTTTCTTTTAAGTACTCCCTATTTTCAAATTGATTTTACGTATCTTGCAAGGGAGCATACCTCTTACATTTGGAAAAATACCAAAGATTTTCCTGCTTAGCCACGGCCAAGAAGCAAAGATTAATTACTGACTAAAACATACAAAACAACTAGTACCAACTATCAGTACTATTAAGTAGCTGGCAGCAAAAGACTTCAGAAAGCAGGGAAAGGGAAAAGAATCTCAAATAAAAATAATGTGAGGGAAAATAGGCTGGTGCCATCTGTTCATTCAACATACCTTATTTCCAACTTCAGCAGACACTAGAGAATATAAACCAAATATTTTAATCCTTATTTTAGGACCCTGTACTCTGAGCAATGCAGCACTTTGGATTTAAAAGGAAAGAGATGCTCTGAAGTATGTGAAATGTTGACACAGCATCTGTCAGTAAGTCCTTAAAAATCTTACATTTTCCTGAGACTATACAGCTACACTATGACACATTAACTCTTTCAAACCCAAAGGACAGTATCAAATAGATACTATTTGAACTTTTTATCTTTTCTCATAGCTATAAATCAACTTGAATGTCAAGGACATTCAAAAGAATTACCTTGAAATAACATGGTCCCCGTGCTTCCCATTCTTTTCTTCCTACTTCTTTCTAATCTAAGGTAATATATCTATCTCTACACCAGTATTTCTCTATCTTAGCAACTTTAAGATATATGGACTAGCTTCCAGAAACCTCCTTCACTGAGAAAGATTGAGAAACACTGTACTAGACATCCCAAAGGTGTTTTTTCAAAAGGTAACTGGACAGTTCTTCAGAAGCTTTTTGGATAAGAAGTGAAACATCTTCAAGCAAAACAAAGAAAGTCCAGTTGCCTTTTGAAAAAGCGCCTTTGGGACAACCATGACCTGGATGACTGAGAATATCCATAGACACTGTGCTAGATAATGAAATAACCAAAAAGCCAACACAATAATTCAGTATCAGTAAAATTCAGTATCCAGTACGTATCAGGGATTTGTACTTTCCTGTTATTAATGTTTCTTTTCACTAAGATCCCATCTCATCTGAAAAGGCATTCTGCAAGTCTTTTGTTTGGTTTTCCTGTCTCTTACAGAATTGTTGGTTGTTTTCTGGGTTTTGTTTTCAACCAAATAATCTCTACAGAAAACCGTTTGAATATGTGACATGTGAATACAATTTAAATAAAGCTTATAGTTCACCAGGAGTGGCTAATAGGGGCATAAATAAATCATCAAATAGCAAGACAATTCAGCACTATCCAAATAGCTGTGGCAGAAAGGCATGAAGGAATCTTTTATCTCACAGACTTTTCTTTTAATATGCCCTCTTTAGTATATAATTATCTCTCATCGCTGGATTAGTTTTATTATGTAAGCTTCGGGGGGGGGGGTTCGTCTTCATGTACTACATGGAAAACCCAACATTGTACAATTCACTTTTGAATGGCATTTGTTTATATAAAAAATATGCCAAGGAACGTATGAATTAAACTGATCTCAAGGGTATGTCTCCAGAACAAGGAACATTGTAATAGTTATAGCTCACATACAGGAAGTATTTTTTTAAATGCTACAAACTGATGGCTGATCATTTTTCTTCCATGACAAGGAACTACATTATAGTAAATTATTAAGTTTATGTAACTGTTCTCTATCTCTATTTAGATACATTTGTGATAAAGTTTATTAACTAAAGAATAAATGTGACACTTTTCCCAGGCTATTTGCAAGTACTGGGATGTCATTTAACAAAATTAACCATCACAAAATGATAAAGTCAAGGACGATGAAATCACACAGTAGTGCTAACATGGTACTTATCAGCAGCAATAAATATTTTCTGATATAATTAAATATTAAGCAATTGGTTAAATACCTCATATATTAATCAATCAATCAACAACAACAAAAAGCTCCTACTTAGAATAAAACATCTTTTATGTTACTTCACACAGGACTCCAAATTAGTAACCAAAAATGTTGAAAAACCAAGTTCACAAACAGAATATTATAGAATTCTCTGGAACATTTTGTTCCTCCTTTGGATCACATAGATCCAGACGTGGCCTCGCTGTAGATAGTTAATTATTGCATATTCCATCTACTAGGCAAGTCTATCAACAGACATCAGGAAATGACATCACCCCTTTCTTACAGTACTATTTATGACACAGTAGTTCAACCAAACTCAAAAGTTGAAATGACAACTTTAAAGGACAAATTTTGATCATTTTCCAACCCCTGTAAGCACCCAGACTGACTTATAGAGCACTGTGGTATGAAGGAAGAAGGCCATTTACTAAGACTTTGTACAATTCAAAAATGTTTCTGGATACATGCTTGGTATCTTGCATGACTGTAACACTTCTCCAATGTATATTAAAGCAGCTTTTTTATTTTCAGATCCTGCATGAGCCTGAACAAATATTCTGTTGCTTTTTCTAAAAGTGCTTTTCAAAAGGCAATTGAACTTTTTTGGGTTTTTTTCCTTGAAAACATTTTATTTCCATCTTTCTTCCAGATGAAAAGTGAAATGTTTTCAAGGAAAAAACCAAGAAAAACCAGTTGCCTTTTGAAAAGCACCTTTGGGACAACCATGACCTGGGAATCTCCATACACATTCTGTTGCTTGTAAGAAACTGATTAAACTTAATGGGACTTTTAAAGCAACTCCATTTTTTTATACTTCTTATACAAAAGTCTGAAAAAATATAAGCTGCTTCAATGAATATCACAGAGGTGGTATGCTCACGAGACTAAAATAACTTTTACATATCTAGCTCTAACATATCTAGCTTACATATCTAGCTCTAACTTAGTACAGTGGTAAAAAAAACACACATGACAATGTGTACTATCCATTCGAAGGGTAAAATATATATTATAATTTGGTACAACTACAGGGTAAAATTTAAATATAGAGGAAGATGCACAACCTTAATCTTTTCTCCGTTATTCAATATTCAGAGATATAAGTGATCACACTATTCTAGCTACCCACTACCCTTTAACCTGTAATTAGAAGACTGACCCAGCAAAATTATCTTTTTTAAACTAGAATAAAATTAGTTCTTTCCCTATTCTTATTTTCCCTTCACATGCTAAAGGAATGGAAAGGAATGCAGCTTTGGAAGAATGCAGCTTTGGAGGCCATCACATAAGCTACTCAAATCATTTCATTCCACACTAGAGAAATGCTCTGTATTATTGGTAAATACTTCTAACACAGAAATTATTACTTCAAAGCACTTTATTACAGGTAGTCCTTGTCTTACAACAGTTCATTTAGCGACCATTCAAAGTTACAACGGCACTGAAAAAGTGACTTATAACCATTTTTCACACTTATGACTGCTGCAGCATCCCCATAGTCACGTAATCAAAATTCAGATACTTGGCAACTGGTTCATATTTATGACTGTTGCAGTATCCTAGGGTCATGTGTGATCCCCTTTTGTGACCTTCTGACAAGTAAAGTCAGTGGGGAAGCCAGATTCACTTAGCAACCATATTACTAGCTAAACAACTGCAATGATTCACTTAACAACTCTGGCAAGAAGGGTCATAAAATGGGGCAAAATTCACTTAACAAATGTTTCACTTGTTTGGGCTCAATTGTGGTCGTACGTTGAGGACTAACTGTAGTTGAAAATTAATGCATAAGATTAATATAGTAAAGAACCCGAGGTCTTGATTCTTGCCAATTCAGCTGCTGCAACTGTTTCAATTCTTTAAATTAGAAAAAAAAATAAGGCTGAAGTTTCAGTTATGCTTACATAGGTTTAATGGAACTTTCCTCTGTGGGGGTCATGTATAGGTTTGTACTAAATGTTCAAGATTAGAAAACTGAACAGGTCTATTGGTACTGTGCAATTTAAGAAACTGCACAATACCAAAGGAATTTACACAGGGACAAATAAAAATGTGCTCCCAGGAGTTTACAATCTATAGCTCTTACGAACAATAGTTTTTAAAAAGGAGAAAGGGAATATCTCTCAAGACAGATTCATCTATAGAAATAGCAATCATAGTACACTTCATTACTAGTTCTAAATAATCAACTCCCTCTTGCAGAAATATCATGTCAACTAAATATAGCATTAAAATGATTTATTCAGCAACCTAAATAAATCATAAATGTATATTGAGACTTATCTGTACAATAACAATTCTCTTTTGAAAAAATCCATTTCAATTACTATATTCCACTCTAGGTCCATGAAACCTGCTATAAATCTCCAAGAATTTATTTGCTAGCACAGACTAATAGTATGAGGAGGTTAAATGGAAAACATCTGCTCTTCCATTCCTCTAATACAGGGCTTTTCAACCGGTGGTACGCATACCACCAGTGGTACTTTATCACCTGGCAAGCCCTAGCCAAGTGTAACGGAAGAGGGAACCAGATAAAAGTGCTGCTGCACAGACCTGCAGGAGACCAGCTGGAGTTGCAGGGCTGCAGAAGCCCCAGGATTGGCGTGTGGTTACATGCTGATTGGAGCTTCCAGCTCACCCAGAAGAGAAAAGGGGAAGGAGGGCGGAGAGAGAAGCTATAAAAGGTTTTGGCGGGAAGAGGCTTTTTGTTAGTGAAGCGGCAAGGAGAGAGCAAGTGAGAGGGGCCTTTCCAAGCGATGGAGGAGTTAGCGAGTGAGCGAGCGGCCTTGGAAGAGACGGAGTGAGTGAAAGGAATTATCTTCAGCTGGAATCTGACTTAATTCTATCAGTAAGCACTCTCCAGCCACGAGTGCAAAGATTAATGTCAGAGAAACAGGCACAGGTTTCCCATTAAAAGTGTGGTAAGTAGGTGTACTTTATCACTTTTTCCCCCTTTTTTTGGTCATTAAGTTTTTGACACCTTGCTAAGCCACTGGAATATTGTCATGTCCTAAAGGTGGTACAGTCTGTGAAAAGGTTGAAAAGCCCTGCTCTAATAGACAGACACAATTAGATGCAATTATCTATATATTTATGGAGAATACAGAATACATTACATATAAATACATTACAAATAAATAGTCAAACATTTGTCAAATGAACTTGGGAGTGAGTGTTAAAAAACAAAAGATCTAATAAAGATAACAGTAGATAGCCAATAAAAAGAATAATGTAATACTTTATTAGTTAATTAGCTGTATTCAGCAACCATTTTTAAATATATATTTCTCTCTCTCTTCCCGTATATATACATCTGCATAAATATATATATATATATATATAGTGTGCTTACTTGCATGCAGCATTAGGATTTGCATTCCTTGAAAGCAGTAGTTCTACACTCTTTAAAATCTGTTCTTCTGAACCAGATGCAGTACATGCGGCCATCAATACTGAATAATCATCTAAATAGCAATTGTTAAGAAACAAGTTGGGAAAAAACCCCATTAAATCTGTAGAATAAACCAGGCATAATAAATACCAAAACTATACTTATTACAAACATAACACATAACTGAATTGTAAAATGAATTTTTCAATGTTAGTCTCACACCAAGATTTCCAAAAACTTAAAACAGACCAGTTGAATAGGGCCAAGACACATCTTAGAATTTTATTTCTCATGTTAATCAACAAGTCCTTTCTGGGGTGCACTCAAACAAAAGATAGAGACAGAGCAAGCTCTTGACTTTGTTCTCCTTTAATGGGTACATGGGGGTTTGCTACCTCTACTCTGGAGATAACATGCAGTCCTCAACTTACGATTGGTCATTTAACAATTGTGAAGTTACAAGGGATTCAGAAAAAGTTACTCACAACCTGTCTTTGAAGTTATGACTATTACAATATCCATGTGGTCATGTGATCACATTTCAGGAGCTTAGGAAATCTATTCACACTTATAATCAGTTGCCAATCACATGATTGCCATTTGCAATGTTCTCTGCTGACTCGCTTAGAAAGTCAATAGGGAAGCCAGCAGGAAAGGTTGCAAGCTGCTACTACCGTGTTTCCCCGAAAATAAGACCTGGTCTTACTCTTTTTTTTTTGCCTCCAAAAGAGGTACTAGGTCTTATTTTCGGGGGATGTCTTACCTGCTCACCTTAGGACCACTGCAGCTAGGCCTCCCGTGCCCTGGCACCTGTCGCACCACTGCCCGACTTCTTCTGCGGCAGCTCTCAGCTCCTTGCGGCAGGACACTACATGGTATGTTGTCGTGGTGCCCGCGAGCGGCAGCACCGGCATGATGTGCCATGTGGCCTCCTGCGAACAGCCGCCAGCAACCAGAAGTAGACAGGGGTGCTGATACTGGTGTCGCTGCTGCAAGGCAAGGCAAGTGTCAGGGCGTGGGAGGCCTGGCTGCCGGGGCCCTGAGGTAAGCAGGTGCGGGGTGCAGCTCCACCCCATCACCCTAGCTTGATTTTTATGTGTGCACCTCACCCTATCTCGTACAACCCGACGGTGGGACGGAGTGGGCAGGGTCTTAACTAGGGCTTATTTTGGGGGTAGGGCTTATATTAGGCATGCACATAAAAACCAAGCTAGGTCTTATTTTCGGGAAAACATGGTACCTGCTGAAGGATTTCCCCTGTCCTACATCAGGGGTGTCAAACTGCCGGCCTGCAGGCCAGTTTCATCATACCCCTGATGTAGGACAGGGGAAATCCTTCAGCAGGTACCATGTTTTCCCGAAAATAAGCCACACCCACCCCATTGCTGGCAATGCAAAAAGAGTCGCGATATGTCGTGACACATCACATGACGAGTTTGACACCCATGTCCTACATGCACCAGGGCATATGGGGGAATGGACTCCTGTACTGGGCTGGAGAAAGAAGCGGGGATCCTGAAAATCCAGACTTTATTTCTCCAGCTGAACACTTGTGTTCTATTCTCAGTACAGAGGGGATGGATCTCAAAGAGCTGAACTTTGTTTCTCCAGCTATCAGGCATGAAAATCAGGACAACACATGAAGTTCTAATTAAACTGACTTATTACTAATTACTCAATTACCGATTAGCACTATCTTGACATTGGATAAGGGTCAACATAATTCAAGAAGGGTTGGACTTAGTCCCTTTGTGGCTATGTAGAGATTCTAAGCTGACTGGTCTTGCCATCCCTCTTTCAGGAAGCAGCTTTTTCATTCTGTCTGCTTAACAATCACAATTGGAAGAGCCAAACTGCAGTCCTTAAGTGAAGGAGTCATGTGGACATCTCACAGTTGAGCCTGAAATGTTGGTCATATCTCACATAATGACTTATGACCAACATTTCAAGCTCAACTGTGGTCATGAGTTAAGGACTATTTATATTGAGTTTCCATTAGTTGTAGCTCCCAAGGAATGAAGCTGGTGTCTTTCTATTTCTAAAAAGAAGTAAGGCACAATACAGTCACTTAAAACTCTTCCACAACAGAAAAAATGTATTTGATTTGGGGGAATTTCAGAATAACTGCAGGTTAACGGCATGGTTATGACATACATTTTGTTCTTTTACTCCCCAAAACAAATGCTAAAGAATAAAAATGTAGATCCCACATTTTAGGACTCAATGGTCTAAAAATAGGTTAAGATTGCTGACTCCTGATGTATTGCTCTTACCAATAGAAAGATCACATTTAAAAAACTGCAATTCTACATGATACTAAAAACAAAGTAAAAGTAAAGTAAAAGGGCACAATCCAAAAGCAAATTAACCAATTGCAGGATAATGAAGAAAATCACACAAGTAGTGGCAAGGTATTTTTGGAAGTACTGACAGAATAAAAAGAATACTTTACACATGATATGTTTAGTTTGGTTTGGCACAGTCACTGTTTCTTTAAATAAACATTTTTTTTAAATTATTATACAGAACATTTAGGATTACATCCTTGAAACGGTCCATTTATAAAAACTCACCCTTCTCAAAGCTTGCATTTGCACCTCTGCTTAGAAGGAGATACATAAGTTCCACATTCGCAACACTAGCTGCATACATGAGGGGAGTCCATCCAAACTTAAGGCTAGATTCTACATTTATACCTGTAACATTTATATACGCATTTAATAAAACATAAATCTGTAATATATATTCTATTATAGAATTTTACACAAGAAAATGGAATATTAGGCAGAGGTATTATGGATGGGGTCACCCACTATCTACATATGGCTCTGCCAAAAGTTCATTTAAACACAACCCACTATTTAGTCTCCCCAGTGATGCTCTGAATAAAAAAGCCCTCCCAGTTTCTTATTTCTATAATATCTATTCTAGACCAGCCTTTTCCTTTAATAACTATAGGTTCCCAAATAAGCAACCTCTCACTCCATAGCATGTAAATACAGCAGGCTACCAACAAACCTGTGACAGATTTACTTGTGACATACTGATATAGTTTGTACTAATTTTACCCAATTTGGGTGGCTTATATCTGCGTAATGCTGGCTACATTTAGCCAGTTCTAAATATTTTTTAATTTTTTTATGCCAATATTTTATGTTAGTCAGTCAATCTGTTTATCTATTTTATTTGCCACCCATCTCAGGTTCAGGCAACTCTGATTTACACTGCTGATTGATAATTAAATAATAAATATCAGATCACTCTGTCCTTCACCCACCAATCTGCTACAAATCATAGAAACCAAATGAGTAGACAAATAAGGAATTTTGATTTCTGTATCGGCAAAAACCACAAAATTTATATTGCTATATAACTAGGGATAATATCCTTTATTTCAAAAGAGCTTCATTTTTTATAAAACAAAAAAGATGCCATTATAATATTCATTTATACAATTACAAAAACTACATTGTTTCACAGAAATTAAAATGTGTCGGCAAATGTAATTTACTGGTATTGCACATTCATAGCACACTATCACAATTATTTATCACTTTCATTATACACATAAAAGACATTCAATTATCTATATAAAAAGTCTGTCAAAACAGGAAAATTGAAGTATGAACCAATTCAATTCTTTAATATTTTAAGGTGGGTCATTTTAACCTAATGTCTCATAGTCAAGATTTCTGATTGCCAGAATATGTAATTCACTTCCATTATGAAGTGTTCAAGATTTCAGTTTCTTTCCAACTAAGAAAAAAAAATCAATTCTAGTATTTGTTCTTGGAGCACATTGATTATTCTTTTTTTCTATTATTAACCTATCAGAAATCTTACTTCATATTCAACAAGGGATAAATTGATATTCTGGTTCTAACCTATTTGTTCTTGCCAGAAAACAGCTGTTTTCCAATGAAATACCTTCACAAACACAAAAACCAAAAAGTAGAAATTTGATGAAAAAGTATGTGGTAAGACCTTATACAGTATTTAATTAAATACAATTATTCTGTGCCTGGAAGAGGAATACAGATATCCATTAAAGGCTGAACTTTCAAAAAGTGTTAAATTTATCTGATAATTCATTTGTCATACCTGTATTTAAGAGTTCCTCAATGACAGACACGTTTCCAGCAGTTAATGCTTTTTTGAAAATGTCATTTTTATCCTGGGTATGCAAGATTTCATCTAAACACTAGATAAATAAGAGATTTATGCTACAATATATAAATGTACTAGTTCATTATCAGCAGAAGTGCTATATGAACTGCTCCACGAGTTACAACACAAGCAAACATTTTAAAAATGAAATTCAAGAATATTTGATTCTTCTAAGATCACTTTTAACCACTAATGTACCTTCGTACACCTGTATTTTTTTGTGTGATAAAAAAGTAGGTGCACCGATAATTATTGTATACATTCAGAAAAGAGGTTAAGGCAAAAATATTTGTTTAGCTAATCAAAATGCACAGGCCAGCATTTGTAAAGAGAAAATTGGGATGAGATTCAAATGCCTTTAGAATCCTCTCTCTCTACCTTTTTTGGGAAGGGGGGGCAACCTCTGAGTGAATAATGTTGACTTCTGGTGACTGCCTAGATAAGTTCCTGCAGTTTTCTTGCCAAGATTTCATATGTACCACTGCCATTCCTAAAGACAAAAGTGTTTGGCCCAAAATCACGCAGTCAACTGTTCCTAACCATTACACCGAACTGGCTCTTAATTAGAATGTCATACCACAAGTATAAGGCTGGTTTATCATTGCCTTCAACCAATAGCCACTGCAATTGGAGTCACTCCTGTTGTCTTAACTGTTGTCAACGTTTCATTACTACTGTGTGGAATTACTGATATCCTATAACAAGGTTACAGTCCTACTTATTTACAAGAGCACTACTGCGCAGTGTGGGATTTATAAAAATGCTTAAGACAGCATAATCTCTCATTCCAGAAGATAAAAAATATACAATTTGAGAAAATCAACTTAGTAGCTGGACTAGTGTGATTTAGGTTTTTCAGTCTGAAACTTTGAACTGATACAACACATTGGTCATTACTGTAACCAGTATTATCAACATACATACTTGTACATATGTATTGTACAAATTCAGCATATTTGAGGGTAAATGACTTATTATTTACCTCCTATACTGTATTTCAAAATACTTATCATAATTATGACATGTGAATAACATGCAACGTGCTCATCGGGTTTAATTTACAATTACATGCACTTAAATAAATACCCTGAAAAGAATAAAATCAGGTGTAGCGGATAAAGATGTAGAATTAGGAAATGAGGAACTTCTACCCATGAAGATCACTGGATGATCTTGGGCCTAATGTATATTTACTATTCTTTCCGTTCTAACTTCACCTCCTTTTCAAAATTATTACTACAACAAAGTTTTTGGAAGGTGATGAGGAAAAAGCAGCAGCTGCGTGGTTGAAGCACGCGCCTGGGCTTGTCCCAAGGAAATCGAATCACTCTTTAATTTGCACCTGCTCGGCCGTCATCGCCTCTCACCTGGGCCTCGGACATGAACCCGATACCCCAGCCATCATCGTCGCTTTCACTGCTCTCATCTCCCCCGGGTACAACGCGGAAATTCGTGCCGTTAGCCATCCACCCTCACCTCAAATTCTCTAAGTTCTCTTCCCACGATACCCCTCGCTCAAAGCAGCATTCTAGGAAACGCCGTTCCTCCCTAACGCTTTCACCAGCACGAGCGCAGGCGCGGGAAAAAGTGCGGACGCGGGAGAAGGCGCACAGCGCGGAGGAGGTCTCTGCGGTCACGTGTTCCGAATTCTGCCCATCAAAGAAAAGAAGGCCCGGAAAACATTATTTGGACCGTATTCGTTGTAATAGATGAGACCATAGACTCATGCAGTTTGAAAGAGCTGCTTTCACCCTAAGTCAGTGTTTCTTCTCAACCTTGACAATTTTAAGGCATGTGGACTTCAACTCCCAGAATTCCACAGCCAGCATTGCTGGCTGTGGAATTCTGGGAGTTGAAGTCCACATGCCTTAAAATTGTCAAGGTTGAGAAACACTGCCCTAAGTAAAGCGTACCTGATAATCTTCTGTTTAAAGGCATCCGGTGAAGGGGAAGGTACCCTTATTTAGAGTACTGGGCTCCGCTGTCGAACTAGCGAAGTTTTAGAATGTGTTTTGATGCATTATTAACTGGAGAGTAAACCGTCTTTACTTCAATGAGACTCCTTACGTAAGTGTATAGGACGACTATGAACTTTTCTTTTCCTGAGTCATTAAGACTTTAAAGTGTCGGTGTGGTTTTCTTTGGAAGCAAAATAAGAATTGCTTGGTAATCCAACTCCAGTGGATCTTAAGCGCGTGCAAAACTAGAAAAAACAACGGACGGTTCAGACTGAAATAATCTAATAGCAAAACCAACAAAGCAAAACAAAACGTGCCATTGAACATCAACTCCAGGCCTGGGACCGAAGCCAGACTTATGGCTTTGAAAGAGTTGTTCTCACTTTGGAATTTCATAGTATTTGCAATGATCCACAATCTAAAGCATGTTTCTTCAGGTATAACTCAAGTGCGTTGTATCAAGTTGCTCACTCTGTGGTAAATGTGTTTACGACTAAATTATCTTATATCTTATATATATAAATAAAACTGTAAATGTTCGTTTGTTCAAAATCTTAAATCTCCGAAAGTTCTTCACCGATTGCTTTGAAATTTTGACACAATGTTGCATTCGAATATGCGCGTGTTTTTATATACCTATATTATATAGATGTCACATAAAACATGCTTTTTTTGAAAAACAGTGCCATCTGTTGGACGTAAAAGCAACACGCTACGATTTTACCATTCCATTTCAATGTTTCCGATTGCATTGTTAAATTTAATTTTCATAGATTTCGATTTATTTTCATTTTGATTTAATTATTTCGTGTGACATTGCGTTGGAATTGATGCACAGACAACGGAACAACAAAAAATATTGTATACGCACAAGCATTGTGAAATTAAACATATTAGAAACGTGCGCTTTCTCTTTTCTTTCTTTTCCATTTAACCAGACTGAGCCACAGCAACGCGTGGCCGGGTACAGCTAGTAATTAATATTTTTCATTAGATTATGGACAGCATGCTTCAATCCAGAAAATTGAATATTTTATTATAGGAGGATAATTTATTTTTTCCATCTTTTATTTCCTTCCAATTAAACAGAAAATGTTTATTGGATGAATATTTTATTTATTGATTGATTTTTATCTCACCTTTATTATTTTTATAAGTAACTCTATGAAGGTGGTGTACATACATAATATTCTTCTCTCCTATTTTTTCCATAGCCTGTGTAGTATATTTTTTTTCTACAGCCTAATCCAGACTTCGTTAATCAAGCATTCATTCCAACTGGGATATTTGCAGTTGTTGAATTTTTAAAAGTTAAAAATAAGTTGTAGAATGAAAATTTCATGTTAATATATTTTTGGACAAAAAAAAAATCATGAAGCAGTGATATAAATGGACTTTAAAGAAGCAAGATAAGAGAATTGGCAGTTTAAAAATACTTTAAACTGTCAGGAACATTTGGATCAACAGGTATTACAATACTGGATGAGTTTCCTTCACTCTTTCACCAGAGATATTTTAAATATAAGTTCTTTTGATTAATAGCAAAAGAGCGATCAAAAAATTGATATTAGAAAGTTAGAAATGATCTAAGGGTCCAGATAAATTTGAAATAAGATTTCAGAATTAATTATAGTTAAGATTTTTTTCTGTGGAAAAATGTGTTTGTTTAGAATTCTTTTTTAAAAAATGTGATAAGTCTTTAAACATTGGATACTAGGGACTAGAAGGAAAGAATCTAGAACAATATTGCACAAAAAGACAAGCTGTTGCTATCATAGCCAGTAACTATTAAAATGCATAGTGGAACAAGCATTAATTGTATGCTCGTATAGTTGATATTTAGCTCATCTGTTTAGGAAAAGTATTCCAGACTTGGGGTGTCAGCATAGAAAACTGTATCACATATCTGTCCAAAGTATTTCACCTGGCAAATCTTACCTTGGATTTATCTAAAGGTCAAAAAGCTTATAGGTGTAAAGAGATTACTGTGTGCAATTTCCAGTAGTAGTATGATTGTTTTTCTCCCCTTTACAAGAAGGGGTGCTAAAACTTTTATTTTGTAAGTTCCAAAGCAAATGAATAAATTTTAAATCTATTTTGCACCTGTAGATTTCAAAGATGCTAACATGGAATTAATGAAATAAAATCCTCTTTATATAGGATTCCTTAAACCAGGGGTGTCAAACTCAAATTTCATTGAGGGCCACATCAGCATTGTGGTTGCCTTGGGGGGAGGTAAGTGTGGCTAGCATGGGCGTGGCCTGCTGGGTTGGGTGTGGCCTACTGGGTGAGCATGGCCTACTGAGTGGGTGTGGCCAGCTTGACATCGCCCGCGTCAGGAGCACCTGTGCAGGCCTGGGACTGATCCAAGGGTCTCCAGCAGAGGAGGGTGGGACTGGGGTGAGTGCCAGGACATGGTTCAATGGAGGAGCTTCACCGTCCCTCAGGCTGTGCGGGGGCCCCCAGACGGTGGCACAGGCTGTCCAGAGTCTTGGGCAGCGGAGGTCAAGCACCCAGCCCTCGAGTTCAGGGACCCCACAGCCCAGCCTAACCTAGCCCCACTTCTCCAAGGGGGCGCCCAGCTGCACTTACCACCTCATCAAGGCTGCTGCTGCTGTGCTCGCTCTCCTTGGCCAAATTGCTCATGGTGTTGCAGGAGGGAAAAATGTGTGGGTCAGAGGGAGGCCTACTCCCTCTCCTTGCAAGGAGACCCTGCTTTGTAACCAAAGCATCCTCAGCCATAAGATGGGAAACCATCAGGAGAGGTCAGGAGGAGGGGACAAGGAGATGGGGAAAGAGCAGCAGGGCTGGTCGTGGCCAAGTGCTAAGGCAGGACTTCCCTCAGACCCTTCCTCCCTCTCATTATAATCTATTTTCCTTCCTTCCTTTCCCCCCTTCTTCCCTCTTCATTCTCCTTTCCTTCTTCTTCCTTCCCCTCTTTCCTCCTTTTTGTTTGTCTTTCCTCTCTCCCTTTCTCCTTTCCTGTCCCTTCTTGGATGCTCAAATGCAAAAGGGGAAACATTTCTCGATGCCTCTTTGCCTTGTGATCAAATGCCACTTTTGCTAGCAGTCTGGCCACTTAAAAGACCGAGAACAAACTAGGCTCAGTTTATCCCATGCTTGCATTTAGTGGGGGCATCCACAGACAACAGTACAGCAAAACTGTCAAAATGGTGGCTGTGATAGTTGATCAGAGCTTCTCTTTTTTTTATGTTCAACAGCTTTAGCATTTAGGAACAGAGGTAAGTTAGTTGCTTTTCTATGAATACATAATCCTTAAAAGAGCTCTCCTGCAGGGACCCTGCCATTGTCCAATTCAGACTGGAAATATAGCAAAGGAAAATATTTTCCCCTACTCTGCTTTGTCCTGTTTTCCCCACTAGAAATGGCTGTTTGCAACACACAAGGAAGTGATACTTTCCTAAGAGTTCACAATTCAAGAATACCAGTGTTAACTTGGATTGCCAATAAAGTCCTGTCTGTGACAAAAGAGAACACAAAATCGCTTTCTCCTTTGAACCCAAGTCTCAGTGGATCCAGGATTGAAGCAGAACTGCGTGAACTGGAGCATCTCCAATCAAGTTGCCTCTCCTTCCTTCCTTTTTTCCCTCCCTCCCTCCCTCCCACCCTCCCGTCCTCCCTTCCCTTTTCCGTTCCTTCCTTCCTCCATTTGTTCCTTCTCCTTCTCATCTCTTTTCTTCCTCTGCGCTCAGGAAGGGGTGATGAGAGGGGAGAGATTGCCAGAGATTGCTATGCCACGTGGGCGGGCAGGAGCTGTCCCTGTGAAAGAAAGCCTCGTGGCTGCGAGGCTGGTGGTGCTGGTGGAAGGGGTGGTGGCACTAATCTACAACCTGGTTGCATCCATCAAAGCCAGAATGCGCTCCATGGGGCAGCCCCGCCCTGTTTCCTGGCTGCACGCATGCACAAGCAAAGTCCGGCATCCCTGCTGGCTGTCTTGCCCCGCAGGCTGACTTCACCCAGGATGCTGGCACTGGCCATCTCCTGTGTGCACACCCAGGGGGCAGGACAGAGGCAGCGGGGCTCCAGGGCTAAGGCTGAGCGCGTTCTGGCTTTGATGGACTGAGCAGCATGGCAGCGCTGGCAATCTCTCCCCCTCCCATCACTCCTTCCTGAGCGCGGAGGAAGGAAAGAGATGAGAAGGAGAGAAGGAAGGAAGGAAGAAAGAAAGGAATGAAGATTCCATGCAGCAGCCCTGAAATCAACAAGGAGCTGCCCCGCTGCCTTTGCCCCGCCCCCTGGGTGTGCACAAAGGAGACGACCAGTGCCGGAGTCCTGGGTGAAGTCAGCCTGCAGGGCAAGACAGCCAGCAGGGATGCCGGAGTCCGCTTGGGCACGCCCCAGGGGGCAGAGCAGGGCTGCCCCATGGATCTAAGGCTGAGCGCGTTCTGGCTTTGATGGATACAACCAGGTTGTAGATCAGTGCCCGGTTGACCTGGGCCAGGCCGAGGTGTGGCGGGCCAGTCCGCTGTTTCCAAAGCAGATCCCCAGTCCAGACAGAACCACATATAGGGCCGGTCCCGGCCTGTGGGCCTTGTTTTTGATCTGTCTGCCTTAAACGAATGTTTATTTT